AGCACGGAGTCAGGCATCACCCAAGATGTCCCACCCCCGCATGTCCCCGTGGCCCAGTGGGTCTCCATCCCCAGGACCCGGGATGGGACAGCATCCCATGAAATCCCAGTTCCTTGAGGTTCCAAACCAGCTCAGCCCCTGGCAGAGCTGATGCTGGGTTTCCCCAGCCGCAGACTGGGGGGCTCAAAATTGGGGGCACCACCCTGCTCCTCCCTTCCCGGCTCTGGGGGGTGGCAGAGAGGGACACCCCGAATTCCCGACGGTGACGGCAGCACAAGTGCAACCTTGAACTGAGCTTCCGGAGGGCCCGTGATGACAACCATGCGCACTTTGGAGTCCGGCGTCTCCGGAGGGTGGAGGGGGGAGAGAGCCGGCGGCTGTGGGGGGGAGCGGCACGGGCAGGGTGGCAGCCATGCCCTCCCTCCCCTGCGCCGCAGGATCGGGCCCCCAGCCTGACCGCCTGGGCTTTTCAGGTGGTTTTCCCACCCGTTTGGTGGGTGCTGGCAGAGGAGGGGGTCCCCATGGGGCAATCCTACCTTGATAGAGGCACTTGCGAACCGGGAGAGCTGCTTGATGTGCTGGCCCTTCTTGCCGATGATGGCACCGACCGCCTGCGCGGGGATGAAGACGTGCACGGTCTCCTGCTCCGGAGGCTGCGGGTACAGCGTCACCGTTCAGGGTACAGCGTCACCATTCAGGGCTCAATGCCACCATAGGGATCAGGGCTCCAAGCTCCCCCCCAGGTGATGCCCACACCTCTCCCAAGGGTGCAGGGCTGAGCCAGCACCAGACGCCCGTGGGGTCTGAGCACCTTCTCCAGCGCATTTGCAATCACTTCAAACACCAAATCCTGCACCCACGCGGGACCTGACCTGGCTGTTGGCAGCACAGGGTGCTGAAGGTATAACCCTGACCATCGCAAGGGTCTTCTCCACAGAGGGGAGATCCCCGAGCTGGAAGCTGGAGCAATTTGAGCTGCTGGGTGTTCACTTACCATGAAGGAGCTGTACGGCGCGGCCCCGGAGACGCTGCTCGGCGGAGGAGGTACTGCGTTGGAGGAGGCAGGGAAGAGGCCAACCGCAGCCAGGTTAAGGCCAGGGATGAGGTGAGATTGCAACTGAAGGCGAGAGGAGAGAAACGTTCATGGCTTTTATCGAGGCATCCTCCTAGAGAGCTCCCAGTCAGCCCAGACGCAGGGCAGGACCGAACCCCACTCACGCTCATGGCGGCCACGTCGTTCTCGTAGGCTTCCCTCACTTTCTTCATGATCTCCTGCTCCGCTTTGCAGCAGTTCTCGATGGAGCCCTTCACCGTGATGGTCCTTTCGGGGTTGTACAGAGTCAGGTCCTGCAAGCTGATGGGAAAGCCAGCGTCAGCAACCGAGAGCCTGCCCTGCCCGCCCAGCACTACGTCGGGTCCTCTGGTCCTTCTGATGGGTGCTATCGGGGTGCCAGGGACAGGGGGTGCCACTGGGACTGCCTGGTCCCAGTCAGAATGGGGACCAGCATCATGGTTGGCACTGGGAAGTCCACTCTGCCTTCACCCAAAACCATGGTTTAAGAGTAAAACCCCAGTCCTGGCCATCAAACCAGCTGGTCCTGAGCTCTGCAGCCCTGCAGGGATGGGGAGGGGACACCGAAGGGACAGGGAAGGGACAGGGAAGGGACAGGGAAGGGAATACAGAAAATATAAAGCCAAGATTTTTCAAGAGAGCTTTGGGGAGTAAAGCACCCACGGCACAGGCTGGTTTCTCAGCTGACGAGGAGGCATCTCTGGCTGCTCATCACATCACCCGTCTCCTCCTCATCCTCCCCATCCACCCCGGCCTGAGGAAGGTCTGCCCTGGTTTCCCCAAAGGGAGCGAGGAGCCTTACGACGAGATGGTGATTTTTGTCTCCGTGTCCTGCTCCACTTTCTTCAAGTTTCGCCCTTCTTTGCCGATCAGGCGCCCCACAAAGTTGTTATGGGCCAAGATTTTCAGAGGCACTTCATCAGCTCTTGAGAGAGGAATGGGGAAAAAACCAACATGAAGGATTTCTGCAGCCAGAAGAGGAGGGATTTGGTACAGAGGCATGGGGGAAGCTCAAGTCCCCTTGCTTGGAGTCCCCGGGTCCCCCAAACCAAAGCTCCTGCATATATGGGAGCATCACACGGCTCCGAGCGTTAGGATGGTACCACGAAGAGCACAGAAAGGCAGGGGGAAACCTTACGTCTTGGTGTCCTTCGCCTCCTTCTGCATGATCTCCAAAATCATCTTGCAGGCAGCGGAGCAGCCCTCGGGGGTGGAGTGGATGCTGATGGCTTTTTCCGCGGCTCCCGCGTTTTCTTTCCGGTGCACGTCGATCCTGCAAGCACGGGATGGGCGCTGGGGCGGCGGTACAAGCGCCGGCTGCTCCGCTCCCCATGAAGCACCCAGAGCTCACGCTCGACTATAAGGTTATATGCACCCAGGGAAGGCAAGAGGAATTAATTCTGGGCTCGATACTCGACATGGACGCAGCGGCTAGAAGCTCAAGTCACAGAAATCCAAATAAGGCATCAGGATCCATTTATTTTAAGCAACAGGGGTGATTAAGTGGTGGAACAAGCACGTGCCTGGGGGACGGGATGGGCTGTCCATCACTTCAGATAAAGCCTTCCTTGGGGGACAAGAGCCGTAGCCAACATAAGCTCAGGGGCCAAACGCAAGAGCAGGCGGGTGAAGCTCAACAAGCTCGTGCTTAAATGAGACCGGCTGAAGCAGCGACCTCCCCGCTGCCATCCCGGGTCCCATCCCAGCCAGGGCGGCCCCGGCAAAGGGAGACACGTGGGGAAGGGCAGCCAGAAAGCTTGGCTGGGGAAGGGCATGGGAAGGTGGCTCTTGGACACACTGCCCTGCACGGCGGGAGAGCTGGAGGGGCCTCAAATTCTCCCCAAAAAATCCAGCCTCGTGCATCACTGCAGACCACTCGGCTCAACAAGGCGCAAACCGGCTCGTGGGAGAACGGACTCACTTGGACTGCGTCTGCTTGGTGATGTTCCTGATGGTGGCCCCTTCCTTGCCGATGATGGCACCCACGTACTGGGTGGGCACCAGGAGGCGGAGGGGGATATCCACCGGCTGCTGCTTTACCGGTGCCCCCGCGGTGACGGGGGGACCCTGCCTGGGAGCACCGCGCGCCCCGAAGCCGCCCCGCCGCCCGTTCTCCGGCCCTTGCATGGACTGCTCGTCGGGGATGTAGGAGACCTTGAGCGCGTGGTTCTCCAGCTGGTGGCCGTTCAGCTTCATGATGGCTCTGGAAGAGGAGAAGGGGTTGGGGTGGGGGTCCCTCCTGGCACACTCCCACGCCGAGCAGCAGTGCATCAGCATCAGCTCAATCCAAAACGGACCAAGCCCTCCCTGGTGTAACGCCCGGCGAGGAAGCACCGGGAGCGGGGAAAGGAGACGTCACCCATGCCGTGGGGACCTGGCAGGACTTTCCACCCAGCCTGGATGAGCCAAAGTATTTTAAGGGGAACCTCTCCAAGCACCCAAGGAGGGTATGGGAACGATGGGTGCAGGACAGGATCGTGCAGGGAGCGATTCCCACGTCTCCTCCGCCTCATGACTTTTGGCTGATATTTCAAATCCCTCTCCTGGCGGGACTTCAGGGACTGCAAGAGCTGAAAGCTGTCGATAGATGGGGCTGGCAGCAAGAGCAAAGCGATGGCTTTGGCCACTGCTCTCCGCAGCTCCTTCAAACCTCCCTGGCTTTCTACGGAGAAAACTAAAACTGCAGCTCTCCAGAAAGTGGTCAGGGACTCAACTCCTGCAAAAAAAACCAAAACCACCCAAAAAACCCTAAAACTGGCTGAACTTTCCCGACTACCATATCTTTCCCTGCAGGATGCGAAGGGACCAGAGAAAGATGCTCGATGAAGCACACGCATCCCCGGAGGAGGAAAAAGCAGGGGAGAAGGTCTGCAGATCCGAGAGCAAAACTACTCGCACGAAACTCTTTTGCTGGATGCTTCCCAGTAAAAGAAACCCAAAATATTTCACCTGATGGGGCGCAAAGCGCAGGGCTGGTGTGGATGGACAAGGGACCGTTTCCTTGCCGGGCTCCACGGCCGGACCCTGCCCCATGTTATTACAGAAAGTAAAACAAGACCGTGGTTGCCCCACGAAGGTTTGCTGTAGCCGCACACGCAACCACAGCAAATTCATGGTGGCCACAGCTGAAGTGTTATCAGCCAGGCGGCCATTTGGAAGCTGGCGCTTTGGCGGAGTGACCACAGGCGACGTCCCCGGGGACGGGGGCACAGCCGCGGTGGCCACATTGGAGACATGCCCACCTCGGTGATGGAAACCTTCCCGATAAAAACCTATCCATCAATCCCCGCACTCCTCCAGGCTGCCCTCCAAGGAAAGTGCTGATCCCGTCCCTTTTCCCGCTTTCCAGAGCCCTTCCTTGGGGCAAAAGGAAAGCAAAATAAACAGCGGTGAAAACCCAATTAATTTTCCATTTGCATTTAGTGCAAAGCTTGATCTTCCCCAGGCAGGATGGGGAACGGAGCTGCACGTCCCCCAGGGACACGGCCATCAGCCAGAGAGGACACGTGTTGCCTGACGCCTACCGGCTCCTATGATATTTGGTCTCATTATAACTTTTTCTGGAGACGTAACTTCTGAAATCATGCAAGTACAAGAAAATCTCTACTTTTCCTTGAGCCAAAAAGTTACGTTTTTACTCTCTGAACTGCAGAGAAAAGCCTAAAAACATGGATGTCCTCTGAAGGGCTTTCAGCTGAAGGTGAAGGAGAAGAAATCAGAGTTCTGGGGGGGTTTCCTCAAAGATTTAGCCAAAATTTAGGAATTCTGGGGTAATCTGACTCCCAGCACTGGAAACCCTGTTTTCTGCAGGCGGGGAAGGGGCCAGAGCCGCAGCAGGGAGGACAGCCCGAGCTGCCGGGGGACGTGGGGCACTTACTGCCTGGTCTGCTCCCGGTTGGCGTAGGTGACGTTGACAACGGCGGTCTCGCTGTCCGTGTTCACTGCCAGCAAAAGAGGCAGAAATTAGAGAGGCAGCACGAATACCAAGGCCCCCCGAAAAGCGGAGTGTCCCCGCTCGGACAAGTCCCCCCATCGGACGAGTCCCCGCCGGGGCTCCCCAGGGATTTGCAAACATTTTTCTCCTGCAAGGGTAGAAGAGTGTCCAAGAGCTCAGGCCACGCTGGGACTCATCCTGGGCAGCACAGACCCTCCTGCCATGTTTAAAGGACCCCGATACTCCATTGCGCTCTGCAGCAAAGCCACCAAAGCCAATTCCATCCTGCCATCCCTCGCCAAGAGCCCAGGGACGGTCCCAGGAGCTCCTCCGAGCCCTCCTTTCCATTTCTAGGAGGGTTCTGGTAACTCTACTCTCATTAAACGTCCCAGGGGCAATATTAAACCTCCTGTCTCAACTGATGGCCATTAGAGGCTGAGATAAAATCTGCCGAGCGGAGACAGATAGTCCCCGGCCGGCCTCGGAGAGCATCCTGCACCTTCCCCCAGAGCGGCTGCTGTGGGTACCCAGGGGTGCGGTGGGAACGACACCGACCCGGCACCCGACGCAGGGACACCCACGTGCGCTGCCCAAAGCCACCACACAGGACTTGTCTTTTAGCAGTAGGGAACAAAAAATAGCCCCAGCCACCAGGCTGAGACCTCTTGACATCTTTAGCCGTGGCTTCTGCTGACAAAGGAAAACCACGTGTCTGTCCTCGCCCTCCTCCCCCCCAAAAATAGCTGCGGCAGAAAATATCTTAAATACAGTATTTTTTTTCAGTCCTACCTTGCTCGCAGTTTTCTACGGTGCCATACTGGGCGAGCAAACCATCCAGAACCTGGAAAAAGGAGGGAAAAAAAAAAAACAAACCCAACACTTTACACTGGGATCGTCAGGACAGACCAGGGAAATACAAGCAATCAATAAAGGCAGCTTTCTAGTCATTAAGATTTCACAAGCAATTAGACGAAGGAAGCTCCTGCCTGCCCCAGGACGCTGGGCCAAGGGGCCTCGGAGCCAGCTGGGGGGGGTCGGGAAGAGTCGGGGAAAAGTCCCAGCAGCCGGCGGGAAGAACGGATCCATTTTGTTCCTTATACAATGGATAAATCATATAACCCTGTTATTAATGGGGATTTTGTTGGTGTAGCTTACATTGCTTCTACCAGTTGAATTTACTCCTATAATGGAAGAGGAATAAGCTACGTGGACGCAAGGATCTAGTATAATTAGACCCAATTAATAACAAAGTAAAAGATAAATCAACTTTAATCCCAAGTACAGAAACCTGGGGGGGGGGAATTAGTCCTTAAATCTGATCTACACTTCTCCGCTTGCTCCTCTTACCTCCCATCGCAGCTGGGGTGGGATGTTTCGGATTTGAATTTTCCGGCTCCTGAAATAATTGAAAAGCGATTAAAAAGCAGATTTGGTGTCCGAAACGCGGCGGCCGTCTTGCGTTGAACTGTTGCATGTTGATGTATTTAATCAAGCTTTGCTTTTCCATATGCTACCGTGGGTTTTCTCATGTTTTTGGCCAAACCCCCCCCGCCCCAGCCGGTGCTGGATTTACACCGGGAGCTTCACCGAGAACAAGATGCCAAAATCCCCCCCCGACCCTTCGGCACTGGCTGGAGCCCTAATGTGGGCACGGCTGGAAAGGCAGAGACTTTTGCCAGATTAAATAAAAGGATTAGAAAGCAAAAAGGGAGCCGTGCGTTCACGTAACCTGCCCTCCCGCGCCGAGGGACGACCCTCGGGATGTCACCAACCGCTGGCGGGACCCGCTGGAGCATCACTGCCACATCCAAAAACCCGCTGGAATTTTAACTGGGGAGATCAAGGCGCGGGGCACCCCAGCTCCACCCCCCGAG